GTAGTTTGTATTTTTTGTCCATTCCATATAGCACGTGTATACCAAATTTTATAGTTACTGGTTAAGCTGTTAAGGCACTCCCTACCGAGATTTTCCCAAGAAACTACAGCGTCGGGTTCTTCAAAAGGGGGGTAAAGAGGTTTCTTCAGGGTCGGCAACGCGCGTAATGCCTCTGGTATTGCAGGTGTTCATAGGCTACGGTAACCGCTTACCATCAGGTGGGACGTTTACTTGTTCCCTATATTTTCACACTTCTTATTTAACCACTTACCATCAGGTGGGCCGTATGCTTGTTTGCCACCTCAGTGGTATAAAAAAAAACTTTTAAATTATATATTTTTTTATCTTCTGCAGGGTTCGGAAGGTTGTTATCTGTTGAGAAGAACCAGCAAGAAACTAAACAGTTACCTCTTTTAAATCTCTGTTAACATAAATATGACAGAGGATTTTTGAATTATATAGAAATGATACTGTTATATCTCACAGTCTTTATCTATCGCAATAATATTAGGTACAAAATAAAATATACGCCAAGTAAAGTAACATTGACAAGTTTAACTTATACCTACTTATGAAGATTCATGGTTGTTCATCTACTTTAAAACTTCAATAAGTTTTCTTTGTTAACTTTCAACTAAAATCCTTCAGAAATTTAACAGAGAGTTTGTATCAAACTAGCAGACCGAGTATTTTCCCATTTAATAACTAAAAAGAAGAGTCTTTAATACGGCGATCTAGTTATATTATAACTTTAATTCACTAAAATTATTCAAAGGAACTTACAATAAGTAAATTTAATAAATCTGTTACTTAAAATTACTTGACTATAATGTGATAAATACGAATTAATCTTAAGTTTTTGTATAACTTAGAGCTTTGTTTGCATTAAAAAAAAAACTTCTTATACTCGTATATAATCTGGGTTGATATATAATCAAATATATTCGGCTGTTGAAGCGTATATTTATTAACCGACTTCAAACAAGGGGAACGTCCTCAATTCGGTTGTATTTCTTTTGTTCATTACCTCAGAACCGTCTTTTATATATAATTTAGATTTTTTTATCTTAAAAGGTGGATTTGGTACCTTTGATGGAACTTCTGTGTGGCCAATCTGAAGGTATACCTTCAGATTTGCCATACAGAAGTTCCATAAATATCGTTTTAAAATCATAATAATTATTTTTACCATTATTGAAGTCGGCGATTATTTTTTTTTTTTTTTCTAAAATCTACTTGGATAATATATAAGCTTGGTATAGAACTATGTACATAATGCTTTGTAAGATCCAGTTATTTACTTAAACATTCCAATATCTTTGCAATCTTACGCATTTAAGATACTACGTTATGCCCATTATTCGTCTTCTTTCAAATCAACAGCAACCTACTCGGAGATATTCAATATGGATCAGAACTTTGCAACTTTTACATTGCAATCAGTCGCTTCGTTAAGTCCCTTTTTATACAGTATGAAGGATTCAAAAGGTCATGTATGGCGTAGTGAATAAATATATTATGACTATTGCATCTAATGTCCATATAAACTAATTCTGGGAGTAGTTATAATGGTTTAAAATAGTTCACCAAAATGTTCTCCGGATGAAGAGGACGTGGACCTATGCTTCTTTGATCGTTTGGATTCTCCTTTCCTTCTCGCATTTACATCTAGATTATCAACATTTTGCACTGTATTATTGACATTGAAAGTAGATACAAAGTCAACTGGAAAGAAATAATCCCGTTTATTAATAATTGTCATTACCGTCATTATTAAATCACTATGGCAATTGATTCCATTACAGTTGATTGTAAAATTCATAAACTTACACATATTACGTAAAAATGATCAATTTTTGCATTTGACAATCCTAAATTGTTAATAGGTTGGATTTACTTACTATCCTCTGGTATCATCATCGTCATCTCAGCCATTATCTATTCACTGGAACGTAAGGAACGGTCCTGAGCCACCTACATCCATTGACTCCCTGAAATGCATTTGATGTCGTCCCTCTATATCAAGTAGGAGAGTCATCCTTGGCTACGCTTGCCCGTACAGATCGCCCCACAAGAACCTTTTTTCCCCATCACTTGTCGGTTCTTCGAGCTATGTGACCAGCCTATTACCACTTCAGCTTGCTTATCCTCTGGTTTGACACTACTAAAAGCTATGCTTGATGGTAGCATGCAAGGTTTTGAATATCACGTATGGTTGTGTTGAATGAATAGGTATTGTAAAGAAAGCACGATGCTCAGACATATGTAGATCATAGAAGTAGAAGAAAAAATATTTCTCTTGTAAAAAAACAAAATATTGCTATTCGATTTATGGGCTACATACTCGTACTTACCGACCAGTAACAGTACGATAATGTTCAATGCTCGTAATCGGACCATAACTAACAATATCGGCCTTGTCATTCACATACACGTTTTATTCCTCTTTAAAATTTCTATCGAAAATCGTAAATACGGACCGATTTATGTCTCTAGAATTGTATGTTTTTACGATTACACTGAACATAGGTATTTGAGAGTTTATGTTTTAATAACCTTCAAATGTGTGCAAACTAGAAAGGATTTTTGTTCTCCCAAATTGTTTACGTTTAACAAAATTAAAGGAATCAGGATTTTGGAAATTTTATAATGGAACAGTTTATTGTTTTTATCATTATTGTGTAAAATCTTGTCAGTGATAGGCTTCATGCAAAAGAAGTTTGCTTAGGTATTTCTTTGTTGTTCCACTCGTGTTTTTATCCCTGAGTTCAGTCGTCCTTGCATGATCATGTTTCAGTTTAAAAGATGGGGCATGACATTAAAATTACAAGATACAGAGGTTTGTGCCTCTTACTCCGGAACTTAGTCCGGAGGAAAGGTATTGGCAGTGAAAGGGTCTAACAGTTTCCTTGCTTGCAATGTAATATGTATCAGGTTGTTTTGCACGCGCTTCTACTTGGAAACTATTATGGTTAATTTTTTTAGAATTTGTCACGATGAGCTAACTGACCAGTTTTCGTTCTCATCTATCATTTCTCACTGGTGTCTAGCCAGCGTATACCGATAGCACAGGCGGAGTTACTATTCCATTTTCACTTATTAAAAAATATCTTAGTTCTCAGTAATAGCAATGCATGTGGAGAGGGGAAGTAAGGTACCATAAGCATCATGATATATTCTGTATTGTCCATGGCGGCAGCTGCTATTTTCCATCAGGCGAGACATGTTGCGTAAAAAAGAACTTCTTCAAGAAGACGTTGAACATTAGTATTCCTTTAGAGTTGTACAGTAATTTATATCCTTACAGTTCAACTAATGTTTTATTTAAGATACCTTTTCGCGTCCACTTCTATGAAAATTATGGGAATCTGAACTTTTTTCCTTGCAAAATAAAGTTGGTAATTCGAAAATTTCATAAATCGTTTACAGCTTACAATTTAGTGATATTACTCTTCTAGCTAATAATGTTCAATTATTACTTCTGTTTACTACTTAGTATTAACACAAAACGGTTAATTGTAACTAATCCATTTTTTATTCTTTATATAGGTTTTATCATTTCTTGTATTATTTGCACATTTAAGTTCTCGGATCAATGTACTATAATTTTTCGTTACTAAGTTTCATTCACAAATCCATTTATATTTGAACAAAAATAAAGTCGAATCTTGATCTTGAATGTGTTTATTAATTTTGTACAAGAACGTCACAATCGAAAGTGTCAGATAAAAACATTATTTTTCTTTTTTTGTATAAAGGGTCAGCAAAGAGTTCATATAACAATTATTAATTAAACATTCCGCCACCCAAGGACTACTATAGTCCTTCACAATATGTTAACATGTAACACAAAGTGAGATGATAGAAATCAAATTACTACATAACTGTTAGAAAAAATTAACAAATTTTAGTTATTCAGTGGCAGAGGGCACAACTTAGCTACAAGTCTTAATGAAATTGTTAGCTTAACATTAGAATATATTTAGACCATTTGTACTGGACACTAGAGAGTATGATATATTTACTACTGTTTGTTGTTTAAAACAAGATATACATTTATTCACAGTACTTGTAACAAGACTTTAAACGAATAATCCAGTACCTCTGTCTGACGTAATTTAAAGGTAAGTTGCAAGTCACCATGCAAAGATTTAATATGTGCATCAGAAACAATTAGTTTACATAAATGACATTTGTTACTTAAAATAATATGAGACTATAGATAGTTCGAAACCTCTGCATTCACTAGTCTGCCACCCACTCTTAGTATCTTTTGTTCATCAAGAAACGGATTAAGTGTATATAAAACTTACTTCTTTTGTGAATTTGCTTGTTGTGAGTTAAAGTTTCAATCTCATCTTTAAAATAGCTTGTGACCAACGAGTACATACAAGCAAAACAATTTTTATTTCAGAAGCAGTTAAATAACAATTACAATCCCTTCTAATTGAATTAATTTTGTTTTTACAGCATTGAATAAATGGTTTAAATATTTGTTTATGTAGTCAGTAATATCATTATTTTCAGTGATACAAATGTGAACTTTAACTTTTGTTTTAACTTCTAAGTCTATTTCAGGAATATCTATATCATTATTTACAATATCATCGGGTTGACTTAGAAAATCAGTGCCGTTCGACCACAGTTTTGACTGTCTCAAATCATTCGGATTTAAACCTCGTAAGCTTAAATTTGCAGGATTATTAAAAGTATCAATATAACGACATTGACTACTATTTGCGATAGTTAAAATTTCTGCTGTTCGATTAGCAACAAATGTTGTCCAAGTACCAGGTGTTTTACGTAACCACGTTAAAACTATAGTAGAATCAGTCCAAGTGAACACACAATTATTTTGTATTCTCAAAACAGTTTTAAGGCTGCTCAACATCTTGGCTAGTATAAATAGCACCACAAGTCGTGGCAATGTAACTTGTTTTACTGAAGCTACACGTGTTTTCGCGAAAACTAAATGAACATTAACATCTTTGGCATTCCAAACTCTGATGTAGACAACAGCAGCATAAGCAGCACAAGATGCATCGTTGAAGCCATGTAATTCTACTCTAGTAGTAGTATTAAAAATGCTGAGCCATCTTGGAAAGGGAATGATTTGCATGTGAGAACATTTATCTAGGTAAGTGAACCATTCAGTTTTTACTTCTAGTGATAGCTCCTCATCCCAATCCAATGCAGCTAGCCATAATTTCTGCATGAATATTTTAAGAACAATAATAGAAGGTGCTAAACAATCAAGAGGATCTAAGAACTTAGTTATCGCAAAACGAACAGTTCGTTTAGTGACATTGTGAGATATAAATTCTAAATTTAGTGTTAGTTCAAAGTTGTCAGTTTGTGACTTCCATTTAATACCTAAAGCTTTAATAGCTTTTTCTACTTAATAGTAACTGTACTTAAAGAATCTCTTTTATCGTTCGAAATTTTATTCAATACTAGTTTACTATTAGACGACCATTTGTGCAAAGGAAAGCCACCTCGAGCTAATAACTCAGTTAACCGATTTTGAAGAAATATTGCATTTTCCTCTGTTGACGTACCTGTTAACAAATCGTCCATGTAGAAGTCTTCCTTTACAATTTCAAATTCTTTAGAAAACTCACCACATTCATCTTCAGCAAGTTGGTGCAGTGTACGGATGGCTAAGAAAGGAACACAAGACCAAACGCAGGTTACTGTAAGTAATCTGTCCTCTTCATTAGGAACATTGAGAGATTCACGCCATACGACTCTTTGAAGATCTATATCTTTTTTAGATACAAGTATCTGTCGATGTATCGACTTCTGTATATCTACAAATAAACATATTTTGTGTTGTTTCCATCTTGTAATGAAGTATCGAATATTTTGAAGGAGATGAGGACCGATAAACAATTCATCGTTTATTGATTTTTCATTTGCAGGTTCAGCACTACCATCGAAGACTACGCGCAACTTTGTACTCAAGCTCAACGGCCTAAGGACAGCATGGTGAGGTAAGTAGTATATATTTTTATTAGTATTAAGTTCATTTTCAGGAATCATCTCCATATGTTCATGTGACAGGTATTCATCCATAAAGTTACTATATTGACTTCTAAATTCAGGTTTGTGTAAAAATCTCTTCTCCATCTGTTGCAGACGATTAATAGCCAAGGTTTGTGAATTACCAAGACTTGTGGAAAGAAACTCTTTAAATGGCAAGCAATTTATGTATCGACCATCATCGTTACGTGTGTAAGTATCCTTATAGTGTTCCTCGCATTGTAATTCTGATGTAGACATAGGCTTTTTGTGAGGAACGTGCTCTTCGATCTCCCAAAACTGCCTAAGTAACTGATTCACCTCCAATTTAGTATGAGCTACAGTCACATTGTGTTCTTGTGTATCAGTTTGTGAAACGCTTCCAGACAGCAACCAACCCAGGCGAGAGTTAAGAGCAACGAGAGTGTTGTGTTTGTGCATTCCATCGAGAATTATGTGAGCATGCACGTCGGCACCCAATAAAACATCTATAGGACTCGGCTTGTGAAAATCAGGATCAGCTAGATCTAATTGCATTGATGAAGGCCAAGTACCTTGTGGAAATTCTCGAGACGGTAATAATGAAGTCAGTTTTCTGAGTATATAAGCGTTAACTTCAATACGTGAAAGTGATGGGTTTTTACAATGAATTGTGAGTGTTACCATAGAGTTAGTAGTAACTTCTTGTGAGTTGGATATTCCAGTGACTTTACCAATTACAGGTGTGCGATCAAGATTCAACAGTTGTACAGCTGCTTCAGTAACAAAAGAAGCCTGAGAGCCCTGGTCTACAAGTGCCCTGAGAACGTAAGTAGAGCCATTCTTTGCCTTTACTTTAATTTGAGCTGTAGGTAAAATAACTTGTTTATTATTTGTTTCAGGTTTCGTGTTAGCAGTATGACAAGACGTAGAGGGACTCTGTACTGACTCATTTCTCTCAGTTATAATCTCTGGTTTGTTAAGAGTTGTTAAATGCAGCAAAGTGTGATGACGTCGTCCGCATTTCTTACAGGTTGTGCTTTGCCGACATTGTTTCACAGAATGACTCTTAATCAAACAGTTGAAGCAGATGTTGTTCGTTTTTATAAAATGTTGACGTTCTGATACGGTAAGTGTAGCAAATTTCTTACAATGACAAATGTAATGGTTCTGTGAACAATATGTGCAAGTACTATTTACTTCAGTAACGTAAGTTTTGACAGATGTAAATTTTTGTGGTGTGTATATCTTCTTTGACAATTCTTTAACTTGAGTTGAACTAATCATTTCTAGTGTTCTGAATCTATTCTCCAAGAAAGAAGCTAAATCGGCATAAGTAGGAATCTCAATAGAATTACCAAGAGACTGCTCCCAAAGTTTATGTGATTCGGAGTCTAACTTTCCGACAATGACATATACTAAAATAGCATCCCAGTTAGAAATACATATGTTGAGATTTTTCAACGAGTCAAGACATTGACTAGTAGTGTCTAATAATTCTTTGAGACCTTTAGTTGATTCGCCAGCTAACTTCTTTTGACTTAATAAGCGATTCAGTATGTTGTTGACAATAATCCTTTTATTGTCATACCTTTCTTCCAGCTTTTTCCATGCATCGAGATAATTAGATTCGGTAAGTGTGAAATTCTTTAATAATTCTGCTGCTTCCCCAGTTAAACTAGACTTTAGGTAATGATGCTTTTCAATTTTAGACAAACTGTTATTGTTATGTATCAATGAAATATATAAATCTCGGTAGCTAATCCAATCATTATAATCACCAGAAAATACTGGAAGGGGTATCGGAGGAAGATGTGGTCTCGAGTGTGAAGATGATGCGATGGTGATGGTGTTATTATCATCAGTTTGAATTGATTTTGTTTCATGTTCATATAACCAATCTTTTATCCAGGTCTTGAGATCTAAGTAAGCCTCTTCAGTAGAATTATAATTTTCCTCTAGATCGAGGTTATATGGCTTAACATCCGACTCTGAATATGTAGTTGTAATGTACTCATATTGTTTATTATATGATGACCAGTACTCACATAGCATCTCTAAACGTGCATCCAAATATCCTCTTGTAATCTTAGCTCGAGCGCACTTCTTCGTGTTAGTTAGTAATTTCACAATTTTATTTGAATTGTCCAACAACATTGTAATACGTGATCTAATATCTTCTGTCATTGTGATATGCAAACAACAAAGTCCGATATATATATGTGAAAAAAGTATTGTACACTGAAGTTGTGAATATTTATGCGTTTAGTACTGCACTATATTTATTTATTTAATTATCCGGCTCGAAGGACCAAATGAACAAAAATAAAGTCGAATCTTGATCTTGAATGTGTTTATTAATTTTGTACAAGAACGTCACAATCGAAAGTGTCAGATAAAAACATTATTTTTCTTTTTTTTGTATAAAGGGTCAGCAAAGAGTTCATATAACAATTATTAATTAAACAATATTATTAGGATTTTTTTTCCAATAATATGCAAATTACCTAACACGATATCACAATATTAATTTTAAAATAGGTTTAAATTAAAGTCAGAAATGATTAAACATTAAAATTTTAATTATTTTAAGACAGACACAGCATTTACTTCACACTCTGTACACATAGAACCAGTGTCGGCCGTGGTACGAATCATTCTTGCATCTGTGGTCGTACAGCTTAACAAATACTGTAAAAAAAAAAGAAGAAAAATATTTGGCCAACGGGTATAATTGAAAACGATATTACCGTACCCCCTTATCACTCTATTTTGACATCTGCAAAGAAACATCTTGGCGTCCCAGCAAAGTTTTATCTGAATGAAGTTATTTGTTTATGATTGAATACAATTATTTGTTCAGTTCCCATTTCTCTCGAGCTTCAACTTTGATAGGATTCCGGGGACAATAATTTAAGTTAGATGCGTCGCCTGAAATCAATTTCTTTTGAATTTTGTCTAAGGGAAACAATTGAGCAATTGAAAAACATGAAGCTGAGTTAAGTGATAAAGTATTTTTTTTTGTGTGCAAAAACATTGGCAAAGAAAACAGAAAGTATTAAACAGAGAAAGAAATTTATACACAGCTCTGAATACACAAAACAATGCATGTTATTTAATAACTCGCTATTGATGAATCCAAAGAACAAAATCCCTTAAATACCGTAACTCAATTGCAATTTACCGCAGAGAATTTTTTGTATTAAAGTCGTCTACACGGGGACCCCGTCCCGCTCGTATTTCTGGAGGAAAGCAATTGTGCTTGCATGTTTGTTTTAAATTAAAGGGATATGTTATGAGATATGGCAGTAAAATTATGGGGAATGGAAGCAAAATATCATAGTTGTCAGGAATGAGGGCATAATGGTTATCATTACAGCATATCCAGAAAGGTATATGGTACTGTTTATGTCTTAGATGACACTTACCACTTTGTATCAGAAGCCATCAGACTATTCGATATTAAGAGATCATACTTTTTTAATTATCTTAGGAAATGGAAAGTTTAACCTCTTGAGATACGAATAAAGGTAACAGAATATCAAATATACGTACATGTGCCATCCTGACAAATCCTGTAGCGCATCATGCAATCACTTTTAAAGGAACGTCGAGCTCTCTGGTAACCACTGCAGATCCACTTGATTCCTATATTCTTGTGCTTCTTCATCATGTCGTGAAGACAAGGAGTGCATACTCTATGTGCTTGTGTGCTAAACATTTGAATATTAAATAAAATATTGCTCTCGAAATAAGCACGATCTCCACGTGAGAGAAGAAAGAAAATACTAATGAGATTGAAGAAGAAGCTTATTTTGCTTTGAAAAGATTGTAATGCTCACAACTAAAAAATATGTTGTAAATAAATAATTAGTTTTAAAATATACAAATGAAGCTCTTTCATATTATATAATACCACATTTGAACTAGAGGGCGATTTTTTGAGTCGAAGTTTTGAGTAACCATTTTGGACCCCGTAGCAAAGAAAATAAAAATATGTTTTCAATTATTTTCATTGTAATATGTGCGAACCAATAATATGTAAAACTGTTCCAAATTTCAAATCAAAAGCATTAGTAGTTGATGAGAGAGATATAGCGCAGTGATAGACAGACGGACGGACAAAATCGCACCATAAGGGTAAGTTTCTGTTAAGTCTGAATTAATATTAATAAAATTCTCTTTTATTAAAGTAACTTATCTTCTGTTTATTACAAGTTTTTTAAAGGTACGTATTTAGTTGAAGATAAAGTTGTTATTTCGTAATTATACATTTTTAAATTGTAAAAACTTTAATTTAATTACCAACTACCCTAGATGTCTTGGATCAGGTCTGCTAACTGTTGGTAGAATTTTGTGTAACGATTACGATGAATTCTCGAAAAAGTTGATAATCGTATTGCTAAACTACGATTTCAATAAGAAGTATTTACTGTTTAAGTAACTAATGTCAGTATTGATGATCATAGTGATACAATGGTAAGCCTGTCGCGTTGCATAAATGAAGTCCCGTATTCGATTTCCAAATGTCAAGTATATTACAAATGGTTAGATATCACTAAATAAAAAACATAAATAAACATACGCTCTCCTTCGTTCCTTAGTTTCCGCCGAGGAAGCATCTGAAGAGTCGCTTGATGAGTATGTTTCAGATGATATGTCAGAACTGTAAGATTTTAATCGTTAACAGTATTTACTGATATATTTAATACAATAGGAAGGTGGAAGAGTTCGTTCGTTCGTTTAAACACACTAAACCTGGAGAGTCAGATTAGAGAAAAAACTTTTTTCATTTAATTTGCTTATTTCTTGATGAAGAGCTAAACAGTATCACGGTTGAAGTCGCTTCATATTATAAAGTAGCTGCACTTTAACATAAAGTTTCAATTGATCCATTTATTAGCCGTCGGATCTTTGAACAACTCATTTTTGTTTCAAAAAGTTTAGAAAACAAATATTATAATGACTAGATAATACTAATAAACACTGGATTGAGATTTTGTAAGTCATAAAACATCAAACGAAAAAGTATGAGGTCAGTCCATTTTTAAATAGTCGATGCAATAATTTAGGAATATTAACAATAAAAGTAATATTTGTCAAACCTATTTACTCTATTCAGTAGTTAAATTTGAAAAGTGTGATGAAATAACCAGATCTTGAAAGTCTTGAATACATGTATAGTGCAGAAGTGTGTAGAGCAGAAGAAAGCGTGATGGTGGTCAAAATTTGTTGTCAAGATTCCAGCAAATCTTTGAATAATACATAAATACAATAAAATGCTTTAGTACCTAGTTTCTTCTGAATATCCACTGATCATGTCGCTATTAGAATCATCGGACTCGGAGTCACTCGAGTCATGACTATCATGCCATTTGTGGCCACGGTGCTGGGCGTCGTTGAAACCAGCTACGTTCTTCAAGACGTCAATATGCTCGCAAGTAATTAGAAATAAGACCTCGTTCCTCGCAATATAAAACTGAGAAGTGGAGTGGCTTGATTATTTGTTTAAAATATTTTTTGTACGTCTCATAGAGAGAAACTTCATACAAAAAAAAAATACGCAGTAGCTGTCTCAAATATGTCCATATTGTGCATTAAAGTTGTACAGTAATATTAACAAAGAGGGAAATTAAAGCCAGCTGTCTTGCAGTTGTTAACTCTTTGCCTATTCATATACTAGGGATCCTAGAGATTTTGTTTTGTTTTTGTAATTGTCTATTTATTTAATATAGGCTTTATTGTAATTAACTATTTTATAAATAAACACATTAGGTATCTATTCAGTATGTCTGATCTTGGGATGTGCTTCATCAATCCTTAATCATCATCATCATATCAGCCTTTGTCTACTGCTGAACATAACCTCCCTCTAGGATGGTTTTGTTAGTAGTTGCCATACTTGGCAGGCGGATTGGCAACCGCAGTTAGGCTTTCGAGATGTTTTAAGAGGGATGCTGCTGCCCATCCCTCGCTTTCCCTTAGTCTCCTCTTACAACACCCATGAGGAAAGAAGGGGTGGCCTATTCCGGGATCACACGGGACTGGATCCATTAATCCGTACTAATATTATAAATGAAAAAGTGAGTTTTTGTTTATTCGGTTATTTATTACTTTTTGACAACTTAACAACTCAATTAATTGTTGTAACCCGGCTAAAGTCGCGAGAAAAATTGCAAGTTCTCAAAATACTTTCCAATAAAGAATGCGATTAATAAAACATTAATATTCTGTTCACGGTATGAACAGTTGAGGATTCGCGTTAAATCTATCTATTCGGATGATATTCTCGAATTAGCATTTAATATTACATTCATAAAACCGAGCGAAATGACAAGAGGGAAATTTATTAAGACTTTTTACACCTCAATATCAAGTTCCCGATGTTATCCGCCCTATAAAAATTATCTTTTTCATGTCTCACCACTTAACACGAGCAGTATGAAACTCCGAATTGTCATAACTTCCCGCGTTTGAAAGTGAGATGCGTTCTTGTTTTTTCAATTTTATTTTTTATTATTATTGTAACATATCGTTGTATTTTATTGCTTTACGTACTTATTGTGAAATGGGTTGAGTTCTTTTCGTATTTGACTATATACTGTGTTATTATGATTTTTCTTGTATTTGTAAACTTATTTATAGTTGTACTGAAATATGTTTAGATGGCAGTGTGTCTAGAATTTGATTATTAGAATTATGATTATACGGAATGCTTTTAAAAGCATTGTATACTAAACAACTGTCTGCTTATAATTATGTATAACCTATATTAGAGGTTTTAATTAAAACTTACATCAAAATATTATTCTTTTAGAAAACAGTTCTCTCTATTTGCACAATACGATACGTCAAGTAAAAAGTATCTAGATGCTTTTTATATTAATATACTTTTTGAGAAAAGAGAAATGAAATACACAGAATTGATATCCGTAAAAGTCTATCTAGCTATACTAGCTCTTCTAGATACTATTAGGTATTTAGTTTCCGAAGATGTTAATTAAAATAATTCAATTTATGACACCAATTTATTTTAATCAGTTACATTGGTAGTATCATTTGCTGCCCATATTAATGATTTCATTTAACAAAATAAAAAAGAACTAAATGTAAAAAAAAGAAAACAATCTCATTTCAATTCTTAATAGCCGCGTATATAGTTAAAAATTTCTTTTATATAATTTCTGTATTTGCCATCAAGCTCTCCACGCCTGCATCAACATCGACTGAAACAAAAATGTTAACTTTTTAATAACATATTTAATTTTAATATAATATAAGAATAATAGTAAACAAACATGCCTAACTGTAACAACTGGGCGGTTCAAGATTTTCCCCATATGTTCCATTTGCTTATAAATAAGTAAACAATGTTATCAACTCATCAAAAATAGCCCAGTGTACCCCTCATGTATTGCCATCCCTGAGGACTAAGATGTTATGCTTCCGTACCCTGCAATTTCACTTTCATATCCTATCCTTCAAACCGAAACACAGCCGTGAAATTACATCTGCCTGGCAGCAGGATGAGTTTGATAGTGATACCGTTGTATAATCTCTAGTAAAATGTCCTCTGGGAAATTCATTTGGAAGCGACTTTGTATTTGAGTGCATTTTTTTTTTTCAGTTTAATATCATTTATTAATTCTAACTTTTCATTTTGAATGTCTATAATATTTCCCTTTGTCGTAAACGATTCGTTTCATGCTATAATGGGGTAAAAGCACTTTTTCCAACGTTGAAAGTATTCCAATGTATCTATTAGAATTAATTATAGCTTCCATTTAACTTGGAAAATTCTTAGAAATGTTATCTACAGAACTCTTAGTGGACTCATTAACATTTATAATTGCAATATTGTCTTTGAAATTCTACTCGCATCTAGTATTTATGGGATGGTTCATTGGATTACGTATTTTTTTTTTCCTTTCTTATGGCACGGCACAAAGTGCATCCGCCGAAAACAAAGTTTGGGAAACAGCATTTTAGGAAAGGAGTTTTGGACGAAGAAATTTAGGATAAGGATCAGAAAAGTTGAATAATGGATAATATAAGGAAAAGGACAGATACCTAAATAGAAACTACAATATATTTAACCTTAAAAATATATATGTATATGAAAAGTATATAAAATAAGAAAATTTACAACTTAATATTATTGATAAGAATAAAAGAGGAAATCAAATTATATACTTCTAAATTATCAAGAAACAATAATACTGGAACTGATGTTGGTAAGGGAATACGGAAGGAAAGGAGGGAATTGAAAAGAACAGAATGGTCATAGAGAGGACAATTTAGGAGAGTGTGATTCAAATCACCCACATCTGTGCCACAATTGCACATATTAGGATTACGTAGTATAACTATTGGAAGTAGTTTCAAATTTTATTTTTCATTATCACATTTGAGGGTATCTATGTTGTGTTTTGGTGGGCAAAATACACATCACTTGTTAATTGCTAATTAATATAACAGTTCAGTACATTATTAAATATTCGGCAAAAGTATTTAATATGTTTTATTGGATTTTTGCTTACATGTCTGCCTTATTCGCAAGGGTTGCCCAAGCACTGAGCTAAGATATGCCCGTCGGGCCCTTCCAAGCAGAAACAAGCTTGGCAAGCGAGATGGTACCTGTCACCCACGTACTTGCACAGCCCTCGCCCTATAGGGGAAGGGATTGTTAGTAATGGGATCTTAAGGCCTTACTGCTAGCAATAAATTCTATCAGTACGTCCTCTACGCAGTCCTCCTTGGAAACCATCGTGGTTAACTACCGAAAAATACGATAGGTCTAGTAATTTGTCTTTATCCTCACCATTGCCTGGAAGAGATCGCTGTTAGCGATAAGGTCGCCCATTGTTTTCTCATTGTGATTATTTCTTGTAATTGTTTATATTTATAATAAGTTTACTATTGTAATCTTTTGGAGAAAACAATAAAGAGTATCTATCTATGTATCTATTTATTTCGCCAGTGTACTGATAACGGAGTTGCATCATCACGCATTAACAAAACCTAAAAACGCAATATTCAATTCTCAAATTTATTATACGATGTTTAAGATTCGTTAAGTTCATTGTTATATAACTTTAAACTTACTTAACTTGGAAAATAAATGAAATTTGTTTTTCATACATATAAGACATAATATATAGGATAAATTAATTTATAGATTAAAAAAATAATTTTTAAAAATCGTTTCAAACCTACCTCAATAAATTCAATCTTAGCAGTATGTTGCCAACTAAATTTTGAAGGCAGTTGCGTAAGAAAAAATCCAATAGGTAAAAGCCAAGAAGATCCAACGGAAGTTTGATTAAATAGAATTTGCATGAGAGCCGCACACCATCTGCTCTTGTAATATATTTTTAATTTATGTCCCAAAAGTTGTCAGAGCCCACCAGGGGATTACAGGGATACGCTTGTTAAAAATTATACGCAACTTTGCTTAAATAATTTTCTTTGCGTACAATGTTTCGGTGGTGGCCCTTCGAGAACGTGAGCGTGTGTGACAAAAGCTAATGGACTTACGCGTTCTGTTTATGTCTGTGGATTGTAGTACTCACCCGATTTTAACATGCCCTGTCCTAAATGTAAAGATTCCGCCAAACTTTGAGCACCTAAAAAATTGACAAAATTATTTAGCTTTATTTTATAAATTATTAGCTTATGTTGACGATTACATTCGATACGTCTTTGATATTTCAACGTTCTATTGCTAGTTATGGGTTATTCTAATAAAACGAGGATGTACATACATCATACTGTATATAGATATAGCATTCTATTAACCGGCTGACCTGTGTGTAAGTGGATTTAGTTCGAGAGTTCTTTACATCGGTAGATTCTGCTTTGTTCCCGTAGTTGGTACTTACGGCATCTTTATAATGAAGAGGAGTGGTAATATATTGTAATATTATATTACTCCTTCGCTACATGGTTATTCGTGAGTTTATTTATGTAACTAAAATATAGAAATCAATATTTATATGGAAATTGTACACGATTTCATTATAAATAGTTGATCCATTTTCTGTTTTATTTTATTACTGAAAAATGCGATGATCGTAACTACTTCGTGGTTTATCGTTAAATAAAATTCCATATTTTCAATCAATAATATTAGAAAATTATGCAAAACAATAAAACTTACTTGCAACAGCATCCGACTGTACAGGTTGATAGCCTAGACTGTTGTATGGAGTCGTTGGGCTGTATGGATATGCATTAATATTCGAAAGAAAGTTTAGACCGTCGGTTGCAACTTCAGTTTGAGCGGGATCATAGCCTCCGAAATTTCCAGTAACAGTATTTGCTAAAGCATCTGCTGAAAATTGACCTCTTTCTAGTAGATATTGCTGTCCAGGTACTAATAGATCTCCTGGTAAATATCCGCTTGAGTAGCTCTCTCCTAAGTTAGATCCTACATTCGCCATTGCATCAGCTATAGCTGATGCTTGCGCATTACCCAAGTTAGGACCAGTATTTGCTAATGCTTCCGCTGATGTCGAAGATTGACTGGGTAAATATCCTAAGTTATTATCTGTACTTGCAAGAGCTTCAGCAGAGGCTAAAGTTTGGGCACTATTACCCAAAAGGTTGACAGGTGAATACTCTTCTAAATAAGAATTACTATTAACTAAAGCTTCAGCTAACGCTGCAGATTGCCCACTACCAAACAAAGATCTGCCTGGTAAATACACACTGGGATAATTTTTTATGTTTAGATCTGAATTTACAAGAGCTTCAGCTAAAGTTGAAGACTGACTACCACCAAACAAAGGTGCTCCTAAAAGATAGCTTTCTAAATTAGAATTAGTATTTGCTAAGGCTTGAGCTATAGTTGATGATTGAATTTCTCCAAACTGTGATACTCCAGGCAAATATGTTTCGGGGTAACCAACTCCTAATCCTTCTAAATTGGAACCTGCATTTGCGAGGGCTTCAGCTGTTGCAGAAGATTGACCACTTCCAAACAATGATCCGTTTGGTACGTATGCAGGTATAGTGTTTGGAAATACTAGACTTGGTGTATTATATCCAGAGACGTAAGGTTGCATATTGCTTTGAGCATTAGTCTGGGCTTGAGCTTCTGCACTACTGGAATCACCTAAAATACGATACAAAATAATAGTATAATATTTTATTTGTTCTTTTTTATATATTAAATAATTAATATCAGTTACGAAGTGATTTATTAAAATTTTAAAGTAATTAGGTTACATTTTTTTCTGCAAAAAAAATATTAAACATTTCCATATATTAATATTAATGTATAGAAATATATATGAAATGAAATAACGCCTAAGCTTAAATAAAGGAGCAAAGTGCACAATTACAATAGGACCCCTTGCAATATCGATATCACATTCAGAGTTGAACGAATTCGATAAATGGGCGTCGAGAAACCAATACACTTAGCTCATATTCAGTCAATCATTGAAGGGCCAGTTTGCTCGGTTGATTGTCACGTCTATTGCCTATTGATCGCCCAACTCGAATTGTGGCGTAGGTACCCCGCCCTTTATTGTGTTTATTTTAAAAGCACTCTCACTGCCCACGAAATTAGACTCACTCCCAATTTTCTACGTTGATGTTTCTACTTTTTAACGGCACCTGAGACCTGTTTACGTTTCTGTGTCAATTCTAACATGTTCGTGTTACGTCGTAAATTTTTACTTTATTCGTTCAGTTCAGTGTTTTAATGTTCAGGTGCTCGTTGGTAGGTCAATAAATGTTTTTATTTTGTATTGCGACTCTAAAATGGCTATCATGTATAAGTTTTTTTTTATCTTATTAATTTATGCATATTTGAATAAACTCTGTAATAGTTACAGAATATAGAAAGTTATATATATTCACTTATTAGAGAAATTAGGTAAATGATATTATAATGAAATTTAAATTATGACTTACCTAGTAACCCAAGCGGTTGCACAAAATCTGAAATTATAAAAAAATAGTTTAATATTTTTCAATATATATCATTATAATCTGAAAACAAAAGATTCAGTTATGTAATGCTTAACTCACTTGTATAAGATGGTTTCGAGAAAGGTTGGGATGCTGGAATTGGATTAAAACATTTGTTATTTTACATATTTTATTATCTACAATGATTTTTATATTGCAAAGTATATCAAATTAGAGACTATGCTATTGAAATGGAAAATATCGGGATTTATTTAAGAAAAAAGATTATTTAGCATTGGTGAGAATATAATAGGTTTTTTCTTGTCTAAATTTATCAACGAGACTGCAAGGATGCAAGGGTTGGAGATAATATCAGATTGCAGGGTACACAGCGCGTGTGATGGTGGTATGAAGTATAAGAAATTCAAAGCCTTCTTAGGACGGTAGAGATCAAGCAATGATGGGAGTAGCTCAGAATATTGTGTGTTCTCACCTGGTAGACCGAGTGGATTAGGAATGCCTGTAACCAAATAATGTTTAAACAAAATCTTTAAATTATAACAATACAAGATAACTCATAAAACATATTGCATTGATAAAAAAACTGTAAACGGTTATACATCATAACGCATACTTTAAATTAAAAATATATATTACTAGCGGCCCGTCCCGGCTTCGCACGGGTAGACATTTTTACAATATTTTAAAAAGCGGTTATTGTGACATAACGATAATAGTTGGACATATAGTATCGCGAAGTTTTTTATAGTTATTGATATTTTCTTCAATATCGTAGAACATACTTTTGTTCTATCACCAATAGTTTCCGCAGCGCACGCGACGAAAGATATTTTATATAATTGTTTACACCTTGTGTTACGTTACTAAAGTTTTAGTAAGGATCCTTAATCTTTCCTGGCAATAAATATAACCTATGTTATTCAGGGTGAATGTAGTTTTCTAATAGTGAAAGAATTTTTGAAATTGGCAAAGTAGTTTTTGTGTTTATTCATTACATACATACACACAAAAATACAAATCTTTCCTCTTTATTATATTGGTGTAAATGTAGATTACTTTTACTGATTCAATACAAGCGTTGACCATGGCGGACTAGTCCTTGTGGAGTAGATCGTTGGGGTTGAAATCATAGCGCCTTATCCACAATCATGTCCTTGATTGCTACTATTTGTATTGTTTCTTTTATTCCTGTTTTATGCGCTATTGTGTGGGTCACATGCTTCTCCGATTACATTATTTCTTTCTTTCTTTTTACGTTTTGTATATACATAAAAAAATTACTAAAATAATAACTATCAAATATACTGACAGCAATAATCCTGGGTGTAGCAGTTGACCTCAATGACGATAACCCCGGTGACGGTGTAGCCCTCTGTACAGACGCAAACCTGGCACTCGTCCCATGGGTGTTGGAATGGAATATTTGGTGGGTATGGTCTGCAGGATTCATCTGTAATATTTGATAATAGAAAAATCAAGAAATGTAATAAGAACTAAAATAGTAATAATTCCAAGGAATTTATGAATGTCAATCAATAATTAAGGTATCTTCTTGTTTTCATTTAAGAGTTTCCTCTTGTTGTTGCAACTAATTCATGCATCTTCTTCCATCCAGTTCTATCCCAGGCCATATCCTTGACCTCCCTATACGACATGACACCTAGTGTTTCTTTTATCTGTCGCATGTAGTTATTCCTCGGTCTTCCTCTTCCTCTTTTGCCCTCTATTTTTCCTTCTATATTATGCTATATATTATTTTTACTTCTACTTACACAATTAAGGTATACGTAATATAAAATTAAATCTATCAGTTTGTCTAATGAACAGTTATTTGTAAGAGTAACGATTGTCTTTGGCTTACGTGGTGAAGGTTCAGGTAATGGGCTGGGGTTAAATGGAGCGTTAGGTGCTGGAGTCACAGGCAGCCAAGGTACTGTTAAAAAACATTATACTATTTATTACACCCGACGAGAAACAAACTGCAAAATATGTCAAAATATCTATAATACGTTTTTCATTTTAATTATTATCAAAATATTGTTAATACTGCAGAATAATATCTTCTTCTATCTATTTAAGAGCTGCGCTCTTGTCGGTGGAGCTCTTGCCACTCACTACGATTTTCAGCGAGTCTCTTCACCCCTTGATACGACACGACACCAACTCCTTCCTTGATCTGCCTGATGTAACTATGTCTCGGTCTCGCTCTCTCTCTCTCTCGTTCTCCATCCTTCTATCTTACCTTCTATTATAATGTTCATAAGTTCGTCGTGTCGTATCAAGTGTCCCAACATTTTTCCCCTTCTGTCCTCAATAGTTCTAATAATTTGTCTTTTTTCCTTAACCCTAAGCAGGACCTCCTCATTGATTAGTCTGATAAAAATAATATTTAGTACTTATTGTATAGCAAATAGACTAATAATACTTACATGGTTCGGGCACTATTTCAGGGTAAGGTAATGGCAATGGTTCTGGTACCGGCACCGGGACAGGTTGTGGTGGTAACACTGAAATTTTATTAATTAATTCTTCTATTTTGCCAATATGAACACTAAAATTGGATTATTATAAACTGTGAACATGATATGTGAATCAACATTAATTTGAATTTGCATAAAATACATCATTTATGATTTATGTAATCAATATTTTTTTATAGTAAACTTCTTTAATAAGGATGGGAAATCTTTTAGACAATTTCAATTTAAAATTATACCTCCAAAGTAGATATTTAAGACAATTAAATTTAAAAAATAAATCTATATTATTGTAAACAAATATAAAATTTATTTGAAAAGAATACGAGCTGAGTTTCTTGTCAGTTCTTCTCATCTCGAAATCATTCCGAACTGACGGTAGATTTGACATATCATAAGTGTCTGGAATAGACCTACATGAATAAAGATATTTTTAATTTGAATTTGAATTCTAATTTCTAAATTATCCTTTTTTTTTTATACAACTTAGAATGGCAAACAAGCTGACGGCCCACCTGATGGAAAGTGGTATCCGTCGCCTAGAGACATGAGATGTCCATGGACATAACAGAGTATACTGTTTCGCCCATGATACCTCCCATGCGTTGCCATTCCTGAGGACTCAGATGTTATTCCTCTGTACCCAGTAAATTCACGCCATATCTCACCCTTCAAACCGAAACACAGCTATGCAAATACAACTGCTTCACGGCTGAAACACGAATGGGACAGAGGTATCCAAGCAATCGACTTTTGTACAAAGTCTCCCTCTGGTAAATATCTCAGGTTGCCATATTTCTTACCTTACTATCTAGTGAGCAAATGTATTTTTTTATGAACTCACCGGGAACCGGTAACGGAAGTGGCTCTGGCACTGTAATGTAAATGTTAATTAAAAAAAATAGCACAAACATATATATTATTCATATATATTATTTTTTTCTTTCGTATTTATATTAATTTCTAATATTTAAAATTTCTATCAAGGTAATTTTTTACTTTAAAAGTATACAATATCATACATTAAATTTAAAAGTAAAAATTATGTCTCTCATCTATTTTGGTTATATTATTATTGTTATAATTTTACAATGAACATTATTTATCTTTTTTTTTATACCACAGAGATGGCAAACAAGTATATACCTAAAAGTAAGCGGTTACCGTAGCTTGTGAACATTTGCAATACCAGTGGTATTAACGCGCGCATTGCCGCCGAAGACCTCTTGAACCCCCTTTTGAAACCCTATGCTGTAGTCTCTTGGGAAAGCCTTTTTTAATTTGATTCAGAATACATAGGTTCAAATCCTGTGTCCAAATCTTTTAATTTTAAAAAGATATCTCCTAAAATAAAGGTACTCACTATACCACAATTTAATGTAATAGAATTAACTCACTTGGTTCCGGAAGTGGATAAATATCTATTTAAATATGTAAAAAGTAATTTACAGCTTATTTCCAATGTCAGTGAACAATAGATTAACAAGAATAATCAAAGATAGATCCAGTCTTCACTTGGACACTAAGATTTTATAGTCCCAGATTTAGATCGGACGGTACGAATAGCATGTGTTTCAAACCATTAATTTGGGTAATGGACTATGGATTATAGACCATAGCTAACCCGTTAGAACACTGTGTGTGCTGTGGTTAACTATATGACCAAATATTACTGTTGATACTTTTAGAACGTTACTATAACTTAATGGTACAGTTGGCGTGTATGTATCTTTATATCTCAGCCGAACACTTAAATTATCACGATGGCTTAATCGCATTTCTGAACGACACGATACAAGCTCGCATGCCTAGTGTGTAATTCGTAGAGTAAATTTTCCTTGCTTTTTTCGTTCCTTTAATGTAAAAGTGTTTTGACAAATAAATATTCGTTTCGTTTAACAATTCATCAACATCGTATTGCTGGACATAAATCTGTTTTTGTAAAACCACGTTGGATAAGTTGACTAGTTTATACTGAGATTAACTTGGCTTAAACTGTATGGCCGGGTGGTCCCGGCATAGATTAGGCCTCCTCTTCCTTTCCCGTGGGTGTTGTAAGAGGCGACTAAGAGAGGTAGAGGAACGGACAGCGGCGTCCTTTTTAAAACATCTCGAAAGCCTAACTGCTGTTGCCAATCCTCCTGCCAAGCGTGGCAACTATTGTCACAATCCCTCAAATGGGGAGGCTTATGTCCAGCAGTGGACAGTTAAGGCTGATATGATGATGCTGATGATTTTAAGGTCTGTATCAAGTTTTTCTTCTCTAAAACTGTTTTTGTTTTAAAATTTGTTTTTTTTTTATTTGCTTTTTAAATAGAATGAGAATAAAAGGAGTGATGACATTGTGTGATGATTTATGATGTCACCAAACGGTTGTTATGTTAATGTTTTGTTATTTATGTTTATAAATGAGTTTATAGTTAGAGTGTTTAATGTACAAATAATTAAAGTACTAAATTTATCTGGGAAAGGCTGTGGTAAAACTTCTGGACCTATATAAATATGTATATATTTTTATTATAGGAAATTTATTTAGATATAAAATCTTATGAAACAATGTGAATCTCTTGAGTTAGCTGCACGCTGCTTAAATTTTTAACTAGAATTTAGTATAAGTAAAAAAGGTCTGAGTCTGTAGTGTATTATAACTATTATGAGTTATTTCATTTAAATATTTTATTTACCTGGATTAGGTAGTGGCAGAGGCTGTGGAACTGTAATGTAAAACAAAGAATTGTAAGTATAGATTCTAGGTAATATATAGATAGATAGATACTCTTCATTGTTTCCTCCAAAAGATTACAATAGTAAACTTATTATAGATATAAACAATTACAAGAAATAATCACAATGAGAAAACAATGAGCGACTTTATCACCAAAAGCGATCTCTTCCAGGTAACCACGCTACACTACGGTATACGGTAAAATAGGCTACGGTAACCGCTTACCATCAGGTGGGCCGTATGCTTGTTTGCCGCTTCAGTGGTATAAAAAAAAATCTTCTGTCTATAAATTCATTTGTGTAAGAGAGCTAATTACGAGTACTATATCTGCCTGTACCTCTCATTTCTGAGCAACTTTCAAAAGATGGTTTTTAGTTAATTTAAATTTATTAAATTTTTTCTTATTATATGTATTACCAATTGTTCTCGACTGTAATTACTTTTTATTTTGCGGAACAAAAGTTGCTTAAACTTTTAGTTTTTAAAACTTTTAATACTCACCACATTGATGATTATCTTCGCATTTAATCGTGAGATCTGATTTCCCGTAGAAGTCTAGCACTTCCATGCATATACATACTTGGCAAGGGTTCAATGGATTTGGAAAGTACACGTGGCTGGGTAGCGGACTGCATGTTACTGCGTATTAGAGATTATTTTTAATGATTCTAATATCTATAATGATTTAAGTAGAACATGATTTTTATTATATTTATGCAAGTAACTGAAAATTTGTGAAATTATTTTCCAGTTATAGATTTTTATAATTTACACACACACACACACACACACACACACACACACACACACACACACACACACACACACACATATATATATATATATATATATATATACACTGATCTATGTCTTTCTTACTGTTGATATTATAATTAACAAGTTTCAAATGAAATATTTGCATGCCACTCGGTTGAATGCAGAGTCTTTTTTTAACGTTAAATGAAGTATTTAATGTAATAACTTGCATTCAAGCAAATAAAGTTATCATCCAATAATTCATTTATAATTGTGCATATTGCGTAGCAAACAAATTAATAATTTGTCGATGTACATATCTATTTTTTTTATGTTTGTACGAACAGTCAATACAAACCTTGAGGTGCTGGTGGCAGAGGTGGCAGTGGAACTACATCAGGTTGGAAGGGTGTTAGTGGTAGGGATGGTAGTGGAAAAACATCTGGTTGGAAGGGTATTGGTGGTAGAGGTGGTAGTGGAATAACATCAGGTTGGGATGGTATTGGTGGCAAAGGTGGCAGTGGAAAAACTTCTGGTTGGAAAGGTATTGGTGACAGTGGAATAACTTCTGGTTGGAAGGGTATTGGTGACAGTGGAATAACTTCTGGTTGGAAAGGTATTGGTGATAGTGGAATAACTTCTGGTGAGAAGGGTACTGGTGGTAATGGAATAACATCAGGTTGGAAGGGTATTAGTGGAACTACATCAGGCCCGAAGTCTGGTGCCACATCCGGTAAAGGTATGACATTTGGCAGAGGAAAGTATGGAAATGGAATTAAATCTGGTTGTGGTAAAGGTAATACTTTTGGCACTGGTAACGGAAGTAAGGGCTCCACGTCTGGATATGGTAAAGGCATAGGTTCCGGTTGTAACGGTCGAGCCCTGCATCCTTCGCAGCTGGCACATACTGGCATTAAGTTACTTAGGCAAAAGCAGATAAGGCATTCATATCGCAAGGACCAATAGTAGTGGAGTTCGCCCTCTCTGCTACACACTGGATAATTCCTGAATCCTGAAAGTTTACAATGGCATATAAATGTTACGAGAATATACTTTTTATTCGTTGTCTAAAACTGAATTATATTTAATGTATATTAAACTATTATAATTTTGTACTATTTACACACCTGGTATGAAATGTGGTAGAATATACTCTTCAGGAAGAAGTACTCGTGTATAGCCGTCTGTAAAAATTAGAAAAAAAAATATTTATTTGATAATTTAGTTATTGTAATGTAAGTAAATAATTATTTTTATATTTACCTGCATAAGCAAGGGCAGTAGCCGTACTTTGTGTATCTGAAAAAGGAAACATGGGCTAACCATAATTTAATACTAAAATAAAAACAAAAATTCAAGCAAAACACATTTATTTCTCAAAATATGATGGTTACACATGCAAATTTAGAAGTTAATAACTGAACTTACTTGCAGCGTTAGCATATGCCTGGGCATTGGACTGTGCCTGGGAAGGTGACCCTAAACCTAAGTATGGTGGGACCGAACCGCTTAACTTAGTATTGGCATTTGCCTGAGCTGAAGCTGAACTAGAAACTGAACTGGGAGCACCGCTGTAACGAGGATAATCTAAACCAAATTGGGGCATAACTAAGTCAGGTCTATATTGTGGATATCCATGCAAACCTGCAGCTTGTGTCAGAGCTTGAGCATGTGCATTCGCCTGCGCTTGAGCTTGAGCTAGAGCTTGTGCTTGAGCTAGACTATTTCCATAGGAGGGTAAACCATATCCAGGCCTCATTAATCTAGGTGAGTAGTATCCAGTCCTCAATGCTTCTTCCGTTTCAGCATCGACTTGAGACTGGTGCATAAATTTTTCTAATTCGTCGACATCATTTCTCGCAAGTAATTGATCTTCAAGATGATGTGAATGTCCATGCCTTTCATTAGCACCGACAGCGGCTTCTTCGTAAACATCTAAATTCATATTATGAGGACTTCTTCTGCCACTAATTACGCGTGACTTTGCTTGTGCATTTGCGCTAGCAGATGCAGAAGTAGGTGAACCGAGATATCCTCCATATCTAGCGTTCACTTCATTTTCATGCATCATAGCCTGAGTGGCAGCTTTTAGTACCTGTTCGGCATATGAATCTACACCCTGATCGAGCATATTATTTTTTCTATTAGTATGCATGGGCATTTCATTTTCTAATGCATTACGTCCAACATTAGTATGATGGTCAACTAATCCGTAAGGATGTACGTGTTGTTTATGCATCTTATATGCTGCATTATCAACTTGCATTGGTGTGTCCGCGTATCTGACTTCGTAATGGGCGGCGTTTAGGCTTTGAACCGCTGCCATATCTGCATTTGTACGGCCTTCCCCCGTTACTTTATCTAGACAATCAAAATTTTTTCTGTTATTTTTTTATATCCTAACTAAAGTTATGTGAGTTGCTATATAGAATTTTTAGATTTTGTTTTACAATTAAACATCTACAGATGACGGTTACCATTTTTAATCATCTTGTTTGCAATTTGTAGATACACAATAAATATAAGCTACAAAATAAAATTGGTTACCTGAATCTATTCCGGCAAGGATATCGGATCCTGATTTTGAGCCATCATCGTAGGTTTGCACGTTAACTGTAATGTTTATTAGTATCGTTAATTCATGACTAACATACATACTATCCACTTTTCACAATTTTATTATTATTTTCAGCTCATGTTGGTCTAAAGCATTATTATTTGACATATCGTCATAGTCGTAGAATACTGACGGATCTGACAAAGATTACATATAAAGATCCGTCAGTATTCTACGAGTATGACGATATAATTGCATATAATTAAAAGATGCCCTATTTCAGTAGTATTAAACATTTTTTTATTTTATTTTGCACATTGGTAATACACAGAAATTGCACGAAAATATTTATCTAATATAAGGCATTGGTGTCTAAGATAGGTCTGGCTAGGTCTGGTTCAGGCACTAATGTGCTGGATATAACATTATATTTTATGAATACTTAAGTATTAAACATTGAAATTACTATAGCCTATAATTGTATATTTTTACGTACAATAAATCTTTATGATTATGATTGTTTTCATACATCCGCATCTAAAATCCCCATATACATCGTATATCAAATACAAATATCAAATATAAACAATTATATTATGTACACAATCATGTAATAATATATATATATATATATATATATTAATTTCCTTTATTTTATATAGAAATATATGTAGAAGGTTCACGGCTGTATCTTTTGTAACAGTTTATTTTTATAAATTCTGTATTATTGAATACAAATTTTTAAAAAAATTATTATATACGTAATGATCTAATAGTTCACAACTTGATTCGATGTATCGTAGTCATACTATTTATTTTTTTATAACTACTTCTAGATGTAGGCAATTAATAAAAAAAAAAATTAAAATTAACATGATTGTGAAGTTTACAAATATTTTAATTAGCGGTGATAGCTCTCAACTGAGTTGGACAATGCCTGGCATCGGTCCGGATATCCCTAAGATCTAATTTCAGGCTAATCTTCTTGATTGTTCTTTATATTTGAAGTAGAAGAGTGTTCTTTATATTTGAAGTAAAATTCTTTAAACTGAATGTTTCTAACCAACAATTGGATGTCGGTCAGAGGATATATAAAGTCGTCATCTGGTAAGTCAAAGGTCTAATGAAGACAGCCTAGAAACTCTTGATACCGAAGGACACCACTCTTATACAACCATTAGTAGTAATGTTATAATGAACCATAAATACTATTAAAAATATAGTTCAAATTTCTAAACTCGAAGTAAATAAATGAAACTTACCAGATTGGAGATCTTGTTGAGCTGCAACGCACAATACAAGGGCTAAAAACAAAAGCCCTTTTACTAGAGCCCCCTGCATGTTTTATTTATTCTCTTCAGGACCTTTCCTAGATGATATTAGCAGAGGAACTGCTACCTGAATGATTTCTCCAAATTCACCGCTACTTATAAATACATGATAATTCTGCGTGAAAATTGTTCATGATATTGATTTATTAGTATTTGAACCAATGTTAATTTTAAACGCCATGTTTCATTCGTTCCAACAACTCTCGTATGTTACGGATAGCACATCGGAATTTTTGTAAAATTGATAAGAATTTTGATTTATGTACATTTAATAATCATGGTAACAGTAGCTAAAAGTGTTAATCAATTACTATTTTAATTCTGGCAAGTCCCATGCTTATTCGTGTAGTGATGGAGTATTTCAGTAGTTCATCTCCGCTATGCTCTAAAAGGCGTTTGAAGAAATAAAGCGCAATATTATACCTGGGATGTCATTATCGGTTCTTAAAAATATGTATTATGTATAATTATTTATATTACTTATTGTTTTAATTCATGCAGGTAAAGCTGTGATTTACAGTTAATATATCGAACTAGCGGCCCGTTCCGGCTTCGCAAAGATGGACATTTTTACAACATTTTAAAAAGTGATTATTGTGACATAACGATAATAGTTGGACATATAGTATCGTGAAGTTTTTTGTAGTTATTGATATCTTCTTCAATATTGTAGAACATACTTTTGTTCTATCACCAATTGTATCCGCAGCGCACGCGACGAAAGATAATTTTATAGAATTGTTTTTACACCTAGAGTTACATTACTAAAGTTTTAGTAAGGATCCCTAATCTTTTCTAACAATCAATAGCCTATGTTATTCAGGGTGAATATAGCTTTCTAATGGTGAAAGAATTTTTGAAATCGACAAAGTAGTTTTTGAGTTTATTCACACAAAAATACAAATCTTTCCTCTTTATAATATTAGCGTAGCGTAGATGAACTATGAAAGAAAATAACGAATTTTTAAACAGTCTGATCTGTCTCTGCCAGCTAATTCTTTTTCGTATTGAATTTAGCATGAAGACCTAAATTGATCAATGTTATTATAATTATTCAAGTATACTTTAACGAATTGGTCTTTGCGTGTGTTAATTTGATTTGTTGTTCAAAATAAAATCCATTAATCTCCCACTAAATGTTTATTTAATTATTAATAATAGTATTAGTATGAAGCGCGCTTTGTTATTTTTGAATGCTCAAACTACCATAAAAGCTATTAAGTCCATTATTTCTGCCATGTCGTTGTGGAGATCATTGTAATGTCATTCTGAAAAAGATAATTCATGATAATTATTTGTGTTTCATCATCATCATTTTCATTCGTGTTTCTACCGTGAAGCAGTTGTGTTTGCATGGCTGTTTCAGTTTGAAGGGTGGGATATGGCGTGAATTTACAGGGTACAGAGGAATAACACCTGAGTCCTCAGGAATGGCAACGCATGGGGGTATCATGGGCGAAACAGTATACTCTGTTATGTCCATGGTACTGCTCATGTTTATAGGCGACGGTTACCACTTTCCATCAGGTGGGCCGTCAGCTTGTTTGCCATTCTAAGTTGTATAAAAAAAAAGGTCGCCATTCCATATAGTGGGGGGCTATCCTACACTGTGTTTGCCTGCACAGGCTCGTTACTCAAGAACCTTTCTTCTCCATCGGTTGTCGGTTCTTTGAGCTATGTGAACAGCCCATTGCCACTTCAGCTTGCTTATCCTTCAGGCTATGTCGGTTACTTTGGTTCTTTTATGGATATTCTCGTTTTGGATTATATCACGCAAAGAGACTCCGAACACAGTTCTCTCCATAGCACGCTGAGTAATTTGAAGCCGTTGCATATTTGTGTTTAGTAAATTAAATTCCATAAAATTGATTATTTTTCAAAAGGGGGGTAAAGAGGTTTATTCAGGGTCGGCAACGCACGCGTAATACTTCTGGTATTGCAGGTGTTCATAGGCCGGTAACCACTTAGCATCAGGTGGGCCGTATGCTTGTTTGCCATCTTAGTGGTATAAAAAAAATAATTACGTACATGAAATTAATCTTCATGATCAATTCCCGCTCTTGGAGTGTAGTGGACGATGGTTGGTAAAGGAGCCTGTTGATCATCGGCGTTGCGTTTCTTCCTCGACTCCTCTTCACCACTCCTAATGCTAAAGCTTTGCGCTTGAGCTAATGCATTCGCTGTAGCTTGGGATAAACCATTTGATAAACCAGCAGTTTGGGCTTGTGCCTGGGCTTGAGCGTCTGCTACACCTCCACCCCATGGGCCGTATCCTGCCATATTACCTAGGGCTTGTGGATCAGTAACACCGAAGCCTCCAAAACCTTGAGCTTGAGCTTGAGCTTGCGCTTGAGCTTGAGCTTGAGCATCAGCCAACCCTCCACCCCATGAACCAAATCCTGCTGTATTTGCATTAGCTAATGCTTGAGCGTCAGCTCCACTAAATCCTCCAAAACCCTGAGCTTGAGCTTGAGCTTGTGCTAGAGCATCAGCACTACCCCATCCTCCACCAAGACCTTGGGCTTGCGCTTGAGCCTGTGCTAAAGCATCTGCATTTCCCCATCCACCGCCCAAACCTTGTGCTTGAGCAAGTGAATTTGAAGCTGCTTGGGATAAACTACCGCGAAAAGCTCCACTTTGTGCTTGGGCTTGAGCTTGAGCAAGTGCATCAGCGGAACCTAAACCCCATGAACCAAGTCCCGCTGTATTGGCATTAGCTAAGGCTTGAGCTTGAGCATCAGCTCCTCCATAACCACCAAGACCTTGCGTTTGAGCCTGAGCCTGTGCTAGAGCATCTGCACTTCCCCATCCACCACCTAAACTTTGTGCTTGAGCTTGTGCAAGTGCATCAGCTGAGCCTAAACCCCATGAACCAAGACCTGCTGTATTGGCGTTAGCTAAGGCTTGAGCTTGAGCATCAGCACCTCCATAACCACCAAGACCTTGCGCTTGAGCCTGAGCCTGAGCTTGTGCTAGAGCATCTGCACTTCCCCATTTACCGCCTAAACCATGAGCTTGAGCGAGTGCATTAGCAGCAGCTTGGGATAAACCACCACTTGCTAATCCAGCAGCTTGAGCTTGGGCTTGGGCTTGAGCATCAGCTGCTCCGTAACCAAGACCTCCGAAACCTTGCGCTTGAGCAAGCGCATTAGCAGCAGCTTGAGATACTCCACCACCGAATGCACCGCCTTGTGCTTGAGCTTGAGCTAACGCGTCTGCCATAGATCCACCTAAGCCTGATGCTTGAGCCTGTGCTTGTGCAAGAGCATTCGCACTCCCAATACCTCTAAAACCACCGACTAGGTTTTGAGCTTGAGCTGATGCGTCACCAAGGAATCCTAAATACAAAATAAATATTTATTCAGACTTGATATTGAATATGCTTTTAACAATACCTAATTTTGAGAAGTTATCTTTTGTTTTAAATAAAATTTAAACGGTTGTTTCGTGGAATAAATAATGAAAATAATGAAAAGTGTTGACTATCATTAGAGCCTGGAGTAAGTATTAGCGCATGATACTTTTGGTGTCAGTTTTTTTTATATTAATGATTTAAGTTTTTTACTTCGAGGTAATGAATCGTAAGATTAATATCAGCCTAAACCTATGAATTTCATATTTTGCATAAATTAGGAACGATTGTCACTTGCTTCGTACTTCGAAGGGTATGTAAACCATTATTCAGTAAGTTACATCAATGATGACTTAAAAACTCTCGACACTAGAAAATATACAAAGTACACAAGTAAGACGACCTTACAAAAATAGTGGTTAACAATTAAATAATATTGATGCTTAAACATAATATTATAAAAGAAGGAAATTTTTGATACATGAATTAAAGCCACGTTTAGCTTACCACAGGCTGGATCCACCATAGTGTCGATGTAGACATAGTTGTATTTGATTTTGCATATGTGAATATGGCACGGATCACCGGGTATACGGAAGGGTTGTAACGGCTTAAGACCTCGGCATCTCGGTGCTGTAAATTAGTTAACAGTTAATCTCTGAAGATAAATTTGATGACATGAGGTCTTCTAGATACTGTAACTCTGATTCATTTGTGCCGCTGACATTTTTTAAGGCAGAAGCATAATGAGAATGATGTTTATGTTTGATTATTGAAATACTTTACTCTGAATTTATGGAGTTTTTACTTATTACGAATTTATATCATCATCATATCAGCCTTAACTGTTCAGTCCTGAACATGAGCCTAAATATCTAAGGTGGTTTTATCCGTAGTTGCCACGCTTGGCAGGCGGATTAGAAACCGCAGTTAGGTTTTGGAGATGTTTTAAGAGGGACGCTGCTACCTATCCTTCGCCCTCATTTAGTCGTCTCTTACGACTCCCACGGGAAAAGAAAGGATGGCCTATTCTATGCCGGGACCATACAGATTACGAATTTATATAGAAAAAATATACCAACAGGTATAGGTGATATGGAAATTTCTATTTACCAACGTAAATGATGACTGGAACTGGGTAATACTTGGTATCTGCAAGGAAACAATAGTGGTTGTATTTCTCTTAATATTGAAGTTAGAAAATTTAAAACTAATGGAGTACAACTTACCGCTGTAAGGTACTGGTACTGGTATCAATCTGTCTTGGCCAGGAACAGGTACGTATCTGTCAACTGGAATAGGTATGGTTACAGGCGGAGATGGTACCGGTATTGGAACTGGGCTATATTTGGTCACCTGATACGGTACCTTGACGATTTGAGGTGGTGAAGGTACTGGATAAGGTCGATTGATTGGGACTGGATAGGGTACTTTTTCGGGTACCTTTACCGGTACTGGATATCCGGGGCCACGGATGTAGATTTTCTCTGGTGGTGAGGGTACTGGAACTGGGACGGGCACTAACACACGTTTTCCCGGGACGGGTATGGGCACCGGGTAAGGACGCGGTGGTCCTGGTATAACGATTGGTGGTGGACCTGTGAATTTTAAGAATATTTCTTAAATAAATAATTCAATACTAAACTATTTTAGTTTAAATTTGATTGCCTTA